TCATATGCGTGTGAAAATAAGAAACTTGTTACCAGTATTTGCTTTGGGGTATTGGGGCTTAGGTTTGAGCATGACTCATAGGTTCACCCTATAATCTGAAAGACAGGGTTGGTGACCATAAAGAGGGAGATATGTTTGCTGAACAATTAACAAAAATTATTTATTGTAAAGCAATGAATCGAGCTCAGCAACTTTGAATGACGAATATAGTTTCACTTCGCAAAGCAGGGGTTTCAGATTAAAATGACAAGCTGAATGCATGGTTTAGTGTCGCCTTCTAAGCCCCACTAGACTGACTACAATTGGATACAATCCATGAGGACAAAGAGCAAGAGTCCAATCCAAAGGACAAAGGGGCTCACAGCAGTGACGCGTCAGAACCTGGACAAAGAAAACGGAGGGCTTGCCCAGGCAGAGGGCAAGGATGAAGCAGACCCACATCAGGACCCCAAAATGTCACTGCCAGAAAAGACCCGAGACACCCCTGAGAATAAGGTAAGGCTGAGCTGGAATCAGGAGCCGGGTAGCCAGCAGCACTTCAAACCAGCCTAGGCTACATGGTGAGACCCTATGTCAAGAAAACAGGAAGATGGGTGAAAAGTCTTTTTTTTTAATTTATTTAAATTTATCTTATGTGCGCTGGTGTGAAGCTGTTAGATCCCCTGAAACTGGAGTTCAGACAGTTATGAGCTGCCTTGTGGGTGTTAGTAATTGAACCCGGGTCCTCTGGAAGAGCAGCCAGTACTCCTAACCACTGAGCCATCTCTTCAGCCCTGGGTTAGAGATCTCCATAGTTCCTCTTTCCCTCAGTGCTCCTGATAACTACTGACCACTCTCGCTTTGGACCAGAAGAATCTGGACATTAACTCTAAAAAAAATACTCCACAGTGGATCAGAACTGAAAACAACAACCAGGGCCAAGAACCCAGGTAACACACCGAAATGGTCAGTTAAAATTTTACAAATTAACAGACTGGGACCTTCTCATCACCTGCTCCCAGAAAGCTGGTAGGTAGTGTTTACAACACACACAAAAAGTTAGAGACATCCGGGGCACTTCAGTGAAGTGGCTTATTCTTCACCAAATCAATCCATAGTAAAAAGGCCTAGAAGACCAGCCCTGTACTGAACACACACTCCAAACAGATCCTTTGTACCTTCCTCTTAAATGTGATTGTCTACCAAGGACCAGAAGGAATCTGAGAAGAGTTTCTGGTATGAAAGACGGAGAAGAAAGAAAGAAAGAAAGAAAGAAAGAAAGAAAGAAAGAAAGAAAGAAAGAAAGAAAGAAAGAAAGAAAGAAAGAAAGGAGGCACCTAGAAGAAGATAAATAAAAGAAATGGAATTGTCTCAGCCACAACTAACAGGCCAAAGGGACAAAGTATCTTAAGTCAAGAACTAAAGGCTACAAACTTTATGCAAATGGTCCAGTCTCTATGGAAATCACTATGGAGAGTGATTTAATAAAAATTCAAAATAAGTAAATCAGCTAACACAGATATTTCATTCCTTTGTGAACAGTCAAAAGAGTCATGTACTTGAGAGAAGCTTGCACATCTGTGTTTATTGTAACACTATTCATAATAGTCAAGATATGGGGTCAGCATAGACATCCATTAACAGATGACTGGATAAAGAAAGTATGAAATATATATATATATACATATATATATATATATACAATGTAGTTTAATTTGGCTATAAAGATGAATGAAATTATGCCCTTTCCTTGATAATGGATACAATTTAAGATCATTAAATTAAGTGAAATCAGCCAGACTCTAAAGCAAAATATTATACTTTTTTCCCATTTGTGTGTCTTAAATTTTAGATAGATACAAAACTGTTGGGACCATTTGGACTCCTGGCCTTCAGCTGATCTTCCCTGCTAGAGATCTTTACTTTCCTTCCAATTTGAGTTACTGAAAGCTGTGTCAAAGTTGTTTACCAGATCTGCTTCACGAGCACGTGTTGCCTTGGCCTTTAGGATCAGAGGATAAGGTTTTCACCTGTTGACCCACACTTGACTGTTGGGCATATAAGCCTCCATGGTGCTATTGAATAAAGGGCTTCTTGCCAGTGACTACAGGTCTGTGTCTCTGTCTCTCTGTCTGTGTGTGTGTGTGTGTGTGTGTGTGTGTGTGTGTGTTTCAACCTCCAGCCCCTTGGCGGAAGCTCCCGAACTGTATGGTAGTGTATAGAGCGTAGACAGGCGATGTGCGCTGCACAAAACATCATTTCTACATATGACAGAAAAGCAGAAGGGAGGATGAAAGAAGCAAGGAGCTGTCAGGAGGGAAAAGGAGGAATGAGGAGACAGGAGAGTGTGTGGCCATGACTGTGATCAAAGTAGTTGATCTATTTGAATGTAATTTTGTACATGCCATCTTATGCTTTACACAATGAAAATAAAGAAGCTCATCTAGGTGGTAGTGGCACACGCCTTTAATTCCAGCACTCAGGAGGCAGAGGCAGGTTGATCACCGANTACAGAGAGCCCTTGTCTTGAAAAGACCAAAAATTTAAAAATAATAATGAACCTACTGACAAAATATCCAGAGCTAGGGAATATCAAAATCATCGCAGATTTTTTTAAACTTTAAATAACACATTTTGTTGACAAAATTAAGAATTTTTTTTCAAAAAATAACAGGGAAAAGACAAATAAAATTGAAAATCGTATGAGATACACATGAAAAGAGTTACAGAAAGAGAGGAAGTAGAGAAAGGAAACTATAAAAGTAAGAGAATTTTCCAGAACTTAAGTTTCTATGCTAGAAGTATGAACTCATGCCCAATCCAACAGTAGAAGACATGGCTGCATCAAGGCACATGCGAGAGCCCATTCCACTAGGAAGAAAAGAACTATAAAGTTCCAGTAGAGAGACTGGGAACAGAACAGGGCAAAGGATCCACAGCCAAAGCGGAACGAGACTTTTTAGTAGCAACACCAAGAGCCTCAGACACTGAGGACAAACAGTGTCCAACCTAGAATTCTACACCCAACCAAACCATCTGTCAAGAGTGAGAGTAGACAAAAGATCTCTCCGGACGTGAGAAGTTCAACAACAACAAAGAAGCTAACCCATATGAATCGCTTCTTAGAAAATAGCCAGAATATGTGATTCCCTAAAATAGTTGAGGAAGAGAGAGAGAGAGAGAGAGAGAGAGAGAGAGAGAGAGAGGAACAGGAGGATAAAAGACCACCCCTGGAAAGATATCTTCAATATGACATTGATAGAAATCCCACAGTGTTAACTCATTAAGAGGATAGGTATATTCAACAGTAAATCAGGGGAAAAGTGAATGATATGTACATAGAAAATCTAAACAAATTGGGTTAAAAAATGTTTAATCCAAGGAAATTAATATACTATAAAAACGGGGTTTGACCATGAATAACATATAGTCCCAATAATGTAAACATTTCTCTAACTGAAACTTTGATTCTGTTCAGAAAATGGAGAAGGTCCATGCCACATAAGAAATACATCTTCGTCCTTCAGACAGACGAGGAAGCATCTGGTTAAAAGATGAAGCTGAGTATCCAGAAATGAAGTAGGAGATTGGCATTTTAAAATAAGGAAGAAAATACCAAAAAGAAAGAGGCCGAAGTTGAAAGTGGGAGGTCAGAAAGGTGTTAGGAGCCAGCTGGGGACTGGTTCCTCTACACACAAGTGGAACACACACACACACACACACTCATATACGCACACATAGGCACACATGCTTGAATACATACACACATACACATTATGCTACTATACATACTTAACTTTTTTCCTTCTAGTTCTGGAAGACAGCCAGGCAAAAGGAACAGTGCCTGAGAGGTGTGGACCATGCAATTAGTCAGGAAGACTTGACTCATGGGAGTGGCAAGGGAAGGGCTGAGTACAAGAAAGAACCATCACGGGCCCTTGAGTAAGGGAGTGCTGAGCTCCGTTTTCCTGACTTTGAGCAGGTTCTTGTACAAAGGGATCCCTGGTAGAAACTGGGAGTGGAAGGATGGAAAGAGACACCTACACCCAGTTCCTGGGAGAGAGGGGAAAAGCTATGGAAATGGTGTTAGCTGTGGAGATGAGAGAGGATGTGGAGGAAGGGATGGGGAGGAAGGCATGGGCAGCAGATGTTTCCCGGGAATTCAACGACATTCAGATGAAGGAAAGAAAAAGGTGAGGAGAGAGGACAGGCTAGGAGAAGAGAGATTTTGTTCCTGGCTGTGACGCCATCCCAAGGCTCTGCCTTCCCTTCAATACCAAAATCACTGTGTGTGTGTGTGTGTGTGTGTGTGTGTGTGTGTGTGTGTATGCTCACATGAGCATGAGCTCAGAAGCACACTTGTAGTATTCATTTATGTGTCGAAGAGTTATTCTGAAGCACAACCCTGGAGTTCAGGGCTCAAATTTAGGAATCTTTGGGGAGAACTACCTGAACAGGTGGGATGGGGCTGATAGAAAGACATGAGCTGTAGCCAGACCGAAGACCTGGAGTGGACCTCCAGATGCCATGTGCTGTTATCTTTAATGCACACACACAAACTTCCCCAAATCCCAGGAGTATTTAACCCTAAAATGTCCCTAACTAGACCTGTCTGACAGGGGCCCTAGAAGAAGATAGTTAAAGATCCTCTGTAGAAGGTCTCACACTGTGGCCATCCACACTCGTGAATATCTTCCCACCTTGTATGCCCCCTCATCCACCCCCCAACGGCACGGAGAACTTCTGGAAGCCTCCTGGAAGATCTTCTGAAACACAATCTCTGCATCTCTTTAAGTGTGTGGACCCCAGAGGAGTTCCTGGGAACCCCCTTCAACCCCTCTCCCATCGGCTTAAACAAGGAGATCACACAAGTTTGCATCAACCAGAAAGTCAGCTTTATTAGCCCATTACCAGCAGAGGGGAGGGGAGACAGCTGGGGACCGCGCTAAGAAAACAGGGTCCTGGCTCAGGCCTCTAGGATGTGAGGCTGGCATGGGCCAGGAGGCTCTGAGTGAAGCAGGCTAGTTCCTGGAACTCTGGCTTTGGCTCTGGCTGAAGCTGGATGACCCTTGCTCCTTAAGGATGGACCGGGGCTGGTGAGACGAGGAGAAGCCTGCAAAAGAGAACCAGAAAGTGAGGTGGGCTCTGGGAGCTAAGCAAGCTGCTGGGTAGGGAAAGGGGAGGCCCAGGGCTCTGGGATGAGCGGCTTGGCCCTTATACCACAGAGTTGGGCTGTGGACTCCAGGAGCCTTACCTTCTCGGGAAGAATAAGACTGGGAAGAATAGGACTGTCCAGAGGAGTGCTGGGAGGAGGAGCTGCTGGGATGGGGAGAAGAAACGAGAGCGTTAGATATGCTGGGAGTCGCAGGGGCAGAGGTGCTGCGAACAGGGACGAAGAGCCAACTCACTGGACACCCTCGCCATCCAGCAGACGGCGGTAAGTGGCGATCTCCTGCTCCAGTCTTGTCTTCACATCCAACAAAATATTGTACTCCTGGCTCTGTTGCTCCATCTCGCAGCGCAGCTGAGCCAGCTGCTCCTCTACGCCGCTGATCAGACCCTGGATCTGGGACAGCTGCATGCAGTATCTGCCCTTGGTCTCTTCTAGGCTGTTCTCCAAGGATGCTTTCTGTGAGTGAAGGAAAACGGAAAGGTCGGTGGCGATGGTCACTGTGTCTCTGCCCTACTGTCTGGGCACATTTTTTTTTTTGACAGGCACATGGATCTTGACCCCAGCCAGGGTAATTGGAAGAGACAAATTGGAGAGATGCTTTCCCAACATCCTGGCTTCAATTTCTCCATCTCTGTCATGGGTACCACGACTGTCCCAGTCTCATTCCCATGAAAAGGAAAGGGGAGGTGGATGGTGACCCTCTTGGGGGATGGTGACTAGGGGATCGCCTGCGGTGGGATCCCTCATACCATGCTGAGCTGGGACTGCAGTTCGATCTCCAGGCCCTGGAACACTCTGCGGAGCTCAGACACCTCACTGCGGCCGCTCTGTATCAGCTCACTGTTAGAGGCCACTTCTCTGTTCAGTTCCTCAGTCTGAGACAGAAGAAAGGAGGAGGTGTGAGGCTCTCTCCCAAGTCTCCCTGTCCAGGAGTCCTGGAGGCTATGGGGAAGGTAAGTCCCACCTTGCTCAGGAACCAGGCCTCAGCATCTCTGCGGTTCTTCTCTGCCATCTGCTCATACTGGTCTCGCATCTCATTCAGGATGCGGCTCAGGTCCACACCGGGTGCTGCGTCCATCTCCACGTTGACGTCCCCACCGGTCTGACCCCTCAAGGCAAGCATCTCCTAGGAAAGATCACAAGGGGGTGGTCAGCTCTCCTAGGAACCTCACCAAACAAGCCTTTTATCCCCAAACCCAGAAGCAGCCCCACCTCCTCGTGGTTCTTCTTCAGGTAGGCCAGCTCCTCCTTGAGGCTCTCAATCTGCATCTCTAGGTCGGTTCTGGCCAGGGTCAGCTCATCCAGCACCCGGCGCAGGCCATTGATGTCGGCCTCCACAGTCTGGCGCAGGGCCAGCTCATGCTCATACCTGGGAGGACAGAGATCAGAGTTGCAGATGGACAGCCCAACTCTTTTCCCCTGCCCTCTGCCCTCTGGCCAGCATGATGGCTGCTCACTTGGTCCTGAAGTCATCAGCTGCCAGCCTGGCATTGTCGATCTGCAAAATGGGCTGTGCATTCGCCAGAGTGGCCGCAACGATCTAGAGCAGGAATGCAAGGATAGGAGGTCTGAGCAGCCAGCCAGGCACTCTCTGCTCAAGGGAGATGGGCAGAGGGGGGTAAAGGAGTTTCCCCAAACCCAGTGATCACCCGCCTGGCAGGTCAGCTCCTACATCTTCCTCAAACAACTGGTTACTTCACCCAACTCTGGACATGCAGGGTGCACTAAGATCTATCACCACCTCCATCCGGGGCCCAAAGTTAAAGAGCTGAGCATTCAACACAAAGTAGCTTCAAGAGCACTAAGAGTCAGGGTCTTAGTTCCAGCTGAAGCTGGAATGTTCAAGAGAGACCCTCCGCCACTTCTCTGGCTAACTCTGCCCATTAGCCTCCAAAGTCTTTAGTCTTCTTGCTTATGTATCAGATTCTCTAGAAGTGGCTTCCTAAAGACCACAGCAATTCTAGTCTCTCAACGCTTCATCCGCTAGAGCCACCCACCTTGCTCCTCAGGTCCTCGATGGTGTGGAAGTAGGAGCTGTAGTCTTTGATCTCGCTGGGCCGCTGCCTCTGGTACCAGTCACGGATCTTCACCTCCAGGTCAGTGTTGGCCTCCTCCAGGGCACGCACCTTGTCCAGGTAGCTGGCCAGACGGTCATTGAGGTTCTGCATGGTCACTTTCTCACTGCCCACCAGGAGACCATCACCACCGCCAAAACCACCACCAAGGCCACCACCAAAGCCACCACCGAAGCCACCACCAAAGCCACCACCCAAGCCACCACCAAAGCCACTACCAAGGCCTCCCCCAAAGCTGCTGCTGCTGCTGAAGCCCCCACCATAGCTGCTTCCCATGCCACAGGCTCCCCCAGAGGAGAAGCGAGAGGAGCTGACTGTCAGGCCCCCATAGGTGCTGGGAGCCCGGCAGGATCCTCCAGTCAGGACAGAGGAGATGCGGCTAGAGCCACCACCGATGCCACAGGAGCCCTTCATGGAGCTGGAGGAGGTGAACTGGCGGCTGCAGGTGGTCATGTTGAGGAAGGTGAGCGCGTGTGCAAGTCAGTGAGCAGGAAGAGAGAAGAGCTCAGGAAGGGATGTGGATGCTGTGTGAGCCTCAGACACCAGGATCCTTTATATGCGCCTGGGGAAGGCGGGGCCCCGCGACTGCTGACTCTGGGTTCCCCTCTGGATTTCGTCACTCAGTCCCGTCCGACTCCCCACTCTGGATTATTCAGCCCAGGGTGGACTCTCCCTCCCCTCCATGTGCTGGCTCAGAGTTCCCACCCAGTTCTGGGGGTGTGGGGCCGGGAGAAAAAACACACAATTCAGAGTTAGTCCTGACTCAGGCTGTGTGGCCAGGAATCGGCTTCTGTTCCTGGAGCCCGAGGGGACAGCAACAGTGAGGCCTTGATGCAGGCAGTCGGCAGCAGCTGGGTCCTCGGGCAGTGAGTCAACGCTCAAGCCTCCCAGCCCTACAGTGAGAACCTCGGGTGGCAGGAGCCCCATTGATGCTATCCCAGACTGTCCTGGGGTGCTGTCGTGGGGTTCCTACCAGCCATGCTGTAGAGCTCAGTTCCTCACTGTGGAGCCCGAAGCCTTCACCTCCCCTCTCTCTGCCGGCTTTCCCCCACAAGGACAAGTCTGGGCTGGGTAGCACAGTTCTTCCTAGTTCTAAAAATCAAAGGGTTCCCTTCCCCATGGGGTCTAATTTAGTTTTGAAGGCTGTCTTTTAGACACCAGAATGTCCACAGCGGCGTACACCATGGCAACCATGACCTATGCAGCCACACACCCATCCTGCCTCTCACTCACTGCCCAGTACGGGAAGATCTTGTCAAGAGGAGCTACAGGACACATAACAATCACAAAGAAGCGTGCCTGGAGGACCCTATCTCAGTGTCCCAGTCTCTTCACGCTTCTTTTGATCCTAGCTGCCTTCCACACCCACCTCCATACCCTGGTCCATAACGTAAGACCCTGCACCTAGAGAACATTCATTCCCAGCACACAGCGCCTCCACGCCACCTCCTGCCCTCAGACTCAGGGTCTGCACTGTGATCTGTAGGGGCTATGGTAGGAGGAAATCCCATCCTGCTCCTAATACTGTTTGTGTGTCCCCATCCCTACCTCCACTCCACCCCACCCCACCATGGACCTCAGAGTCCCCGTGCGGAAACCAAACCATCTTGCCCAGGAGCTAGCTGCCCAGCATCTTTCTGGTAGCTACAGTTCCAGGCTGGGTTGGTGGCTTTGTTCACCTAGTGGGCACCACTATCTTGTTCCTTGCACTGCTCAGGGATACTGTCACACTTGCCACACAGTTCTGAGAAGCAGGTCCGAGGAGGGTGTCATCCCCACCATCGATTGACACATGAAGGCGTGAAAACACAGGAAGCTCAGGGGGGACCCAGAACATCAGCCCCTGAAGACTCCACTATCCCAAACCTCTCTCTTGGCACCTCTCAATTCACATCTTTTTGTTGATCCTTAAGTTGACCTTGTAGGACTATGGAAGAACAAGAAAGAGGTGGAAGCCAACCATTGCCACTAGGTTTATGGTCACAAAGTCAGAACTCTGAAGGGTCCCATGAGTTTTTCAGGCAAGGGGCAAGTGAGTCTAATTGTCACCTACCTCCCTATAGTGTTTAGTAGGAGCTTTGGCCATGGTGGGCACAGTCTTGGCCTGAGAAGAAGAATGGAGTCTTGACCCAAAGACAGTCTTTTGGATACCATGAGGCAAGGCCCATGGCACTGAACTCTGTCCTCGCCCCGTCATTTCTCTCTTGAAAGGACAATAACCCAGAGAAGCTTGACTGAGGCTGAGCTCTGCTAAGGCAGGAAATTTTGGGTTTTGTTACCATAACTCATTGTGATCTATTGACCACTCAACCAGAGGCTAAAATATTCTGCGGGTCTCCCTCTTCTTTGGTCTTGACCCCAGAAATAGTCTCCAGTCTTGGGCTTCAGGAAGAGAAGAATCCAAATGGGACACGTTGGTAGATCAAGCAGTAACGAGTTTGGTCAGAACAAGTAAGGAAGAAAGTAGACAAGAAGGGACTGGACTGAGTAGCAACGGCCCCCACCCTGGAAGGCACGGGGCTCAAGTTTTCTCCTCCACTCTGTCATGTGCTAAATGCTAGCTCCCAGGGTGCACACTTCTAGGAAAGGGATGTGCTTTTCTCAGAAGCCCACTTTGTCCAGAATTTAGTGTAAGTCTATGTATAATATGCAAAAATACACTTAAGGGTTTAAGGACCTCTAAAGAGAAAAGTTTACTAGGGTAAAGAGGAACAAACCTCAGCACAGGCTCCCCTGGCAACCAACTCTCGAAGTTGCTTTAACATAATCTGACTGGCAGGGCCCACTATCACCCATAATCTCCTTTATTTTTTTTTAATTGGTTTTTCGAGACAAGGTTTCTCTGTGTAACCCTGACTGTCCTGGAACTAGCTCTTATAGACCAGGTTGATCTCAAACTCACAGAGATCTGCCTGCCTCTGCCTCCCACCACCGCCCGGCCACCCATTATCTCTTATACCTGTTTCGGGGGCCGTGCACTAGCCCATCTGGAGTCAGACACCACCGTTATCTTTACACTCTGTTTCAGGGCCTTGATCTGGCCCACCCATGTTTCCTCTGTTCTGTCTTTGGGGAGCCGGTTTAGTCAGACCCTTCTGAAGCAAACTTCTTGCCTGATAAGAGCAAAGCTGAAATATCTGCTTAGGGGAGAAGACTTGGTAGGGGGAACCGAATACTACTCCAGCCCCAAATACAATTGGCAAAAAGATCTCAAAATCTTGGGGGAACCAGTCTGTTGATGTCTGGATAGGCCTGGATTTCATGTCCAACCACAGACTCATCTCCCTTGAGATTGGAACTGGGTGTCACGGTCACCGAGGGTCACTGAGCCCCAACTACAGAGGTAAAATGTTTGAACATTTATGTTAACAGTATGAAAAGAGACAGGGCCTCAAACCCAGTATCAACTGCCAAGCTAAGGTTCATACCAACTCTCTCTCTCTCTCTCTCTCTCTCTCTCTCTCTCTCTCTCTGTGTGTGTGTGTGTGTGTGTGTGTGTCTCACACACACACAGAGAGACAGGAAGAGCACTCTGTGGTATAAAGTCCTACAATGCTTGTCTCCCAGAACATACCCACCACAGGAGACATCTGGAGAGGTGTGACCCCCTCTCCGCACTGGGACTCAACTTAGAGTGATATTTTATTTATGTATTAATAAATAAAGCTTGCCTGAAGATCGGAGGGTAAAACTAAGTCACTGGAGTTCAGGCCATGGTGTCACAGACCTTTAATCCCAGAATTTGGGAGACAGGGGCAGATGGATATCTGTAAATTTAAGGCCACCATGGGCTACACAAGATCAGTGCAGAAGCAGATCCAGGAGGTAGCAGCTCACACATTTAATCCCAGTACTAGGGAGTCAGACTCCTTTAATCCCAGCACTAAAGGGGAATAAAACAGGAGGAGACAGAGGCTCAGGGCTCAGTCTGCAGTCTCCCAGCCTTGGTAGAGGTAAGACTTCTCTGGTGGCTTGGCTGTTTTGCTTTTCTGATCTTCAGGCAAGCTTTATTTATTAATGCATGAATAAAATATCACTATATAACTATAAAGAACGAGGCTGCCCTGTTTCTCCTGAACCTCTGAAGGGCTGGTCTTGGCAGGGCAAGACTGTGACTGGGTCTCAGGCGGTAAGAGATAGCAGAGGAGCAGGCAGGACACTTCCTCTGTGAAAGTGACCCATATTCATCCCAAATTTGTCAGAACCAGGACCACTAAGCTACAGGTGGCAGGCACCGAGTCCAGTCAAGCTGGCACCCTTCCAAGGCAATGAACTCCTCCCCCATCCCTGCCCTTCGCCCCACCCCTTCTCAGGTATGAAGTCATGTCCCGCTTGAATAAGCCAGGAAACACCATTGGCCAATGCCACACCTCAATGCACAGCGGTTCCCAAACCCAACAGAGCCTTACACAGACTCCTTCTCTGCCCCAACCCCTGCTTCAGCATCGCCCAGGACAAGCCTGGTCTTGGGACTCTTTTACAAGCTCCCCAAGGGATTCCCAGGCTGGAGAAGGAAGAGGCAGCTCTGGGAGCTGCAAGGTGAGGGGGTCCAGGGAGCCTGACAAGACAGAGGGTCTGTTGCAGAGCCCCCAGCAAGTGATGGACACATAGTTAGCCACAAGAGAACAGCCTGGAGTCAGGGCAAGCTGCTCCACCTTGGGGAGCCTTGGCTTTCTTCTCTGACATGTGGGAATAACATTGCTGTCTCTCAGGCATGTTCGAGTAGAGACGAAATAAAGCAAGTGCCTGCTAGACTGCTAAGCACCGCCACAGCAATTCACTAGGGTCTCAGAGCACCCACTATATGCTAGGCACTGACTCGAAGAACAAGACAGAGGAAGCCCTTCAAATGTACAAGCTGGTGAAAAATTTTGATAAGGACAGTTCTATTGCTGTGAGTTTGTGTCTTGGCAGGAGACAGAGCAAGGTCCTCGAGGACAAACAGATGTCCCTCAGACCCCGGTTCTGTGACTAGTCCAGCGTCAGAAGGAATTTACAGGGATCAGGCTATTTCTATACACCTCTCCCTCCTGTGTGACCGATATCTGCTGCAGATAGCAAGGCTGCCAAAGGCCCTCACACCAGTCACACACAAGGAGCCCTTGAGGGAGCCCAAGACTCTAGGATGTGTGGCCTAGCAGCCGAACCACCCTGGTTCTGGTACCTCTGTTTCCTCAGCTCCTCATGAGACCCAGACTACATGGGGTGGAGAGTATTGTCAGGCCCACCCCATTCCCTGTTCAGCAGTCCACAGGAAAGAGTGCCTTTAAAATGTCTTGAGTCCCCGCAGGCCAAATGCTGCCCCTGCATCTCCTAGACCGAGTGCAGAACTAGGCACCTGCCGCTCTGTGAACAGTGCCACATCCATCTCTCTGCAGAAGCCTAGCAGGCGTTCGTGTGACTACCAGTGACATGGGACTGTGTCTATCACAGGAAAGGGGAACCAGGGCAGTCACGTGCCTGTAGCCTCCACCAGAATGGTGGGATCTGGAGGGTGGGCAGACAGTGAACCCTCTCACCACTCGGACCCCAATCCAGGCTCCGGCACTCATCCCCAGTAGCCTGCAGCTGTCTGAGATGCCCTGGGACAGAGCCACTACC